CGGGCACGAACCAATCAGCAAAGAGCTGCCCAGAAAACCACCCGCGAATCAACCAATCAGAGAGGACCTCCCCAGAAACGCACTCGGGCACGAACCAATCATGGAACAGCTGCCCAGAAATGCACCTGGGAATCGACCAATCAAAGAGAGGCTCCCCAGAAACGCACTCGGGCGCGAACCAATCAGGAAGCAGAACGCCCAGAAACCCACCCGGGCGTCAACCAATCGCGACGGAGAACCCGAGCAAAAAAACCCCCCGGGGCATCAACCAACGAGAGAAGAGATCCCCCGCACGGACGCCCTCCCGGCAGCCAATGGGAGCGGAGCGGCGGCGGAGGCGACCAATGAGCACTCACGTAGATGCTGGGGGTGGGCGGGCTCAGCTTGTCGCGCGGCAGCCGCTGCCCGGAGTCGATGCGAGGCTTCACGGATTGCAGGGGGGACAGGTAGGACTCGCGGAACGGCACCGGGGGGCGGGCCTGCCTATGGGGCACAATGAGAGGGGAACGTGGGGCGGCGTACGGACCCCATAACGACCCCATAACGACCCCATACGGACCCCATAGAGAGCCCGTAGGGACCCCATAGGGACCCCATAGACATTCCATAGAGACCCAATACAGACCCCATACAGACCCCATAGAGACCCCATAGAGATCCCATACAGACCCCATAGGGACCCCATACAGACCCCATAGGGACCCCATACAGACCCCATAGGGACCCCATAGAGACACCATAGAGATCCCATAGGGACCCCATAGGGACACCATAGAGATCCCATAGGGACCCCATAGGGACCCCATACGGACCCCATAGAGACACCATAGAGATCCCACTGAGACCCCATAGAGACCCATAGACACCCCACAGAGACCCCATTGAGACCCCATAGAAATCCCATACAGACCCCATAGAGACCCCATAGAGATCCCACTGAGACCCCATAGAGACCCCATTGGGACCCCATAAGGACCCCATAGAGAGCCATAGACACCCCACAGAGACCCCATTGAGACCCCACTGAGACCCCATAGAGACCCCATTGGGACCCCATAAGGACCCCATAGAGAGCCATAGACACCCCACAGAGACCCCATAGGGACCCCATAGGGACAACAGAGACCCACAGGTAGGACTCGCGGAACGGCACCGGGGGGCGGGCCTGCCTATGGGGCACAATGAGAGGGGAACGTGGGGCAGCGTACGGACCCCATAACGACCCCATACGGACCCCATAGGGACCCCATAGGGATCCCAGAGCAATCCCATAGAGATCCCAGAGGGACCCCATACAGACCCTATAAAGACCCCATAGAGATCCCATAGAGAGCCCATAGAGACCCCGTAGGAACCCCATAGGGACCCCATAAAGATCCCATAGAGACCCCGTAGGGACCCCATAGGGACCCCATAAGATCCATAGAGATCCCATACAGACCCCATAGAGACCCATTGAGACCCCATAGAGACCCCACAGAGACCCCACTGAGACCCCATTGAGACCCCATAGGGATCCCATACAGACCCCGTAGAGACCCCATACAGATCCCATACAGACCCCATAGAGACCCATAGGCACCCCACAGAGACCCCACTGAGACCCCATAGGGATCCCATACAGACCCCATAGGGACCCCATAGAGATCCCATTCAGACCCCATAGAGACCCATAGACACCCCACAGAGACCCCATAAAGACCCCATAAGGACCCCATAGAGATCCCATACAGACTCCATAGGGACCCCATAGAGATCCCATACAGGTCCCATAGAGAGCCCAAAGAGGCCCCATA